ACCATTAAAATGACTAAAATCTCCACAAAACCCCTCCTGATATTAAATGTTTTGCCTATAGATTGACTTAATAGCTATTTAGAAATATAAAAAAACAATAGGTTGTAAAAGGTAAGAAATAACAATAAATGACCCTTGACATTCTAGCATTATTTATGGATCATGTTTTAAGGGACCACAAAATTACAAACAATGGTATGATAAGATCACTACAAAACAAACTAAATTTCATGTAAATTGTTTTACTTTTGTTGTTGTAGCTTTACTATAACCAAGATGTAAAATACTTTGAATGTGTTAACATATCATAAATTGAAAATATATATATATATATCCTAATCTACAGGGTTTTGTTTCAAGTAACTGAAACTTGAATCTCTTGTTTTAGTGAGACCGAAAAAAAATGTTTTACGAAAATACAGCACCATGAACAAAATATTAATCTTAAAGGATTGTTAATCGTGATAAATTTTCTTTTCTTCATATTTTGTTTACATTGATATGTATGTATGTGTATAAATGAAAATGGGAAATATGAACAATGTTGTCAGCTGTTTATTCATGTAACATGTATCATCACAATGTATATATATATATATGTAACTTGTTTAAAACAAGTATATACACATGTTACTGTTTTCAATATGCATTCTCGTTTCATTAATAATTATTCCCTACATGAGAATAATCAAACATTAGACAGAATACGTTATTCTACTATTCTAATAAAGATACTAGAGTATATGTTGTAGTAATAAATGTACTAATGAGTTGAATAAAATGATGTTTTTAACAAAGAATATTCAATAAAGCGATTGATAGGTGACTATAAGTGAAAAAGAAAAGAAAGAAAGAATTTGTGTTCGTTATAAATTTAAGCTTTAATTACTAACTACATAACAGTAATGTAGTACTTGTGTATTTGTGTATGTATGTGTGTGTATGTGAATTGAATTTGTAATTATTTTCAGAGTTTTATTTTATTTTGTTCTGGTTTTTTTTTAGTTTTTGAAATTGATATCAAAAACAGAAGTGTAAATAGTACGTTGAAGTGTTTGTATCTAAGACACAATGATAAATTTACATACTGTAATCTTGTTATAGTGTATTTATATAGCAATTTCTGTTGATGGAATGTCAATCAAGAGTTTAATTTTCAACAGCAACAACAAAAAAAAACATTTGTATACACTTACGTGTATATGAAAAGTTATACAAAATGCATGAATAAATATATGTTTATATCAGTTGGCAAAACACATAGAAATAGTGAGATATAAACTAATTTCAGGGGTAATCATTAAGTAAAAACATTACTGTACATATTTGTAACTTATTTTAATTAATGAATCATTATTCTAAATAGATCAATGGTAAATATACAATTTTAAAGCTAATTCTTATCATGGAACTGATTCAAGTTACTATTAAGGATTGAAAGTATGTACTGCTAAAGTATCGTAAACAATATTCCCGATTATTTTGAAACTTAGCTTGGGATTATAAAAAGGATCTTGTTCACTTAATACAATCTTGAAACCTGGTTATAATAACCAACTAATAAAATAATTTCAACTTACAAAACCCTCTTCAACTTACACATTTGTTTTCATGGAATGAATTATTGTTAAGTAGTAATACACTTCTGTAAATTAATTTTATTTCTAAAAGTAACAAATATTGCTAACAATGTCATATCATTAAAAGACATAGATTAACATTTATCTCGTTAGTTATCTTCTTTAATTATATTTTTACAAGAGTTCCTACTGGGAAGTTAATTTATTAATTCCTGTAATTGTTTAATATTATAACCATATATATATAGGTGTAGATATGCTTACATAAACGCATGCTTATACTAGTGAACAAAAACCTACAGTAAAACACGTTTCTCATGTTTCTTATGAATGAACTATATGATATATATATATATATATATATATATATATATATATATATATATATATATATATATATATATATATATATATATATATATATAGACACGTATATGTGTGGAATTAGACATATCTATGTATTATACTTCATTCATTTCCTGTAGTTCGTGCTTTTGTATCTACTGAATTTAGATTAACTATTCCTCATTATTTTATTTATTGTTTCTTTTTACTGTGCTTAGTTGTAATATTTGTACGTTTTTCAAAATATATTCTCAAAGCTATAAATTATAACGCTTAAGTGCATTTGTATCATATTCATTACATTCATGTTTTTTTTTAAATTTTTTGATTAGGTTATGTGGCTGCATCAGAATGAATTATACTACTTTTGATTTCATTAACCAATACATTTTAGTGATGTTTAGTAACCCTGTATGATGATTCACTAACTACTGAGTCTGAAAGTTACGATCCTACTTGATGTATACTTTTGTTGCATCATTTGTTGACAATTCTGATGTATAGCTAGGTCATGATATATATATATATATATATATATATATATATATATATATATATATATATATATATATATATATATATATATATATATATATATATATATGGACTGAGATGAGCATTACTATACTCTGTTATGAAAGTTATTTGCATGGTAAAATTATTTGATTTCAACAGAAATTACTGTATTTCCTTTCTGAATTCAAAAAACGATTACATTGAGATATGGTTTTTCATTTGTTTTTCCTTCAATTTATTACTAATTATCTATTACATGTCTAAATTGAAAATAATATATGAATATTTAAGAAAAAAGTAATTCAAATCAAACTAACAACAGATCATGATAGTGTTAATGATCCAGAGGCCTAAATAGACTTTCAAGAGTATATAATACTGATAAGCTTAGATCAGATTCAATCATTACAAATAAGTAAACAGTGTAATATACCACGTTCTATTATAATAACAGTTAAACGATTGAAAAATAATGATAACTTAAAATTGAATTGAATTAGAAAGGAAGGCAAAGTGGGTTGAAGAATGCTGGTCTGTGGCCTATGCTGCATTGGGAGTAACAGCCATGAGTAAGTAAGTAAGTAAGTAAGTAAGTAAAATGAACCATTTTGCATACTTTTTATCCTGTGAACTATTATATACATCTATTCCCTTATTATAGAATTTTATCATTAAAATGAATAATTAACCATAAATAATTACTGAATTTATATAACATATTACTTTATTTATGAATAAATAGCATAGTCTACAATTGGTACTTATTTCAGCTTTATAATTAAGGTCAATTTAATGTCTTTCAGGGAATAGGTTCATTTTACCAACAACAAAATCTTTTTTTTTTAAATAAAATCTTTAATTTATCACTATGGAAAAAATTTGTATCCTATTTTTTGTTCGGTCAAAGAAAAAAAAACTGTCTTTCAATCACTTTATTTTGTGCGTGTGTATGTGTGTGTTTAGTAGAATTGATTACATTTACTTATTTTTATTATCAATTCTACATCATTTCGACTGAATTCATTCAAGGATTTGTTATTTATCATTAAATAATCCAGTTCTGTTCTAATAAACTCATATTTATTTTATATAAAACAATCTTGGAAACTATTTTTTTTTGTTTTTTTTCGTTTTTTTCTGGTTTTTCAGTTATTCATTAAATACTTGACCTTAAAACAAACATTGTTGTATTAGCATTATTTTAGGTTTTATGGCTTATTTCAAAGCTCATATTAATAAGAATAATAGTAGAAGATACTTTAATAGAATTACAATTCTTTCTATGTAGTATAAAATAAAAAGCATTTTATGATGAGACTATACAATAGAAGAATTTATTTAAAGTCTTTAAAAAGAAAGTGATTAGACGTTTGTTTTTGACCTAAACAAATGAGTGAGTATTTGTTTTCTTTGAATATAGATTCACTGTATGTTTTATGCATTCAAATATACGTTTGAGATAAACGATCACAAAAAAAGAATTTACAAGAGAAGTATAGTGTCATTTTTTTCCGGACAATAATGCTGAATCTCGGCTCTTTAAAGATTAATTAGAGTTAATTATTGACTATCCTAATCTATGATTAATGCTGTATTTGAACTGAATAAGTTATCGAGTGATATAATCAGTTTGTGTGCAATTCTACCAACACTATTAGTTAAAATGACATTGCGTCGGAACACTTTGTTACTTCGGTATATTTCAGTAATTAGCAGTTATTTAAACCATTTGATTAGGTTAATTAAACGATTCTGATATTTTGTGATTAAGATCATGAACCGATTGATGTTAGGCCGCCTCTGAAACCTGGAATCACTGAACGGCCGGTTCATGATCTCAAACAAAAACTTAATAATCTCCATAACCCTTATACTAGTAATTAACATGTGCTCACTAGTGACTAGCTTCGTGAGGGGACTCTCGTAGTTCTAGTGAGAAGCCGTGAGCAGTGGAGCTAATCCATTTTGGGTAGAGACAGGTATCTACCTCAGTACAATGGAAGATGTCCGCGCAGTTTCGTGGATTGGTTGATGTTAGACACTGACACCATTGGATGCCGGCTCAGTGATCCAGTAGGTTAAGCGTTCGCGCACGAGACCGAAGGCCCTGGGTTCGAATCCCGAGAGCGGGATCTTGGAGTCCCACAATAGGATGAAATGGCCGTCCAGTGCTTCCAGGTTTTCAATGGTGGTCTAACATCAATCGGTTCATGATCTCAATCAAAAACTTAATAATCTCCACAACCCTATACTAGTGATTCTGATAGTATAAATGCATAAGCTTTATATTTTTCTCAATATAAATATTAAACCTAATCAATCCATTACCTTCTTGAAATGTTCTTATTTACCGAGTAACTTTTATTTATTTTAATTCGTAGATAGACTTGCTCATTCTGATCACTTTTTGTTATGTATCCTATTTCATTTTCAAACTTTTATCACTATATAATTCAGGGTAACAGTTTGTACTGTTTTGTTTCTTTCATCAGGTAAATAACATTAACAAAATAAATTATATACAATAAATAGAAATGAATAAAAAAAATATCAACTTACCAATGCACATTTATTTTCTTGATTTATACAATGTGGTTGAGTTAGATCAGGACGTTGTATTAAAAATGATTTATCTTGTTCAGTCAACTATAAATAATTTATTTCAGTTCAATTTTCACGATCAATTAAGTTTAGTTTTTGTTGTTATTATTATTATTATTGATTTTGTGATATGTTTTTAATGATCGTCCCGAAATTGATTGATTTCAATGATTGAACATAATTCAATTTGGTATTGATTAGAATATTGATTGAAATGAGTAAATTATAAAAAAACATGTTGATGAGATGATCGTTTTTTTGTTTTGTTTTGGCCACCATTATTGTTGATGAATAAAAATGTTGACAATGAAAAAATAGTAATGTGAACAAATTGTTTCCATGGTAGATCATTCAGCAAAGAGAAGGAAAAAAGTGAGAAAAAAATGAATATATTTTTTTAATTATTTCAAATTCAATTTGACTTTAATTACATTAAAATAAGAAATAAGTGAATTTGATGTTTTTTATTTCACTCACCTTTATTTTTCGATGTTTCAAGTCATTTAAAAAGGTATATGATCTATAGCTAAGTAAAGATAGTGTCCTCAGAATGAAGTGAGTAGTTTTACCTTATTGTTTTCCTGATTATGTTTTTAGTAATAGACTAATGTTTATAGTTCATATTGGTTAATAGTATCTCTTACATTAGTGTTTGAAATTTTTACTGATTTATAAAAGATTTCAACAGACTAGATGGGATATTCTAATCAATTTTACGCTTTATGAACTTATAGTTTTCCAATGAAGTATTTATTTATTTGAACACATAGATATTGGTACAAGGGGGCACCAAATACATATGCGTCACACAAATCTCATTTGATATGTGTGAGGGCAGTGATAACGCCCGGGTGCCCAAACCGAATCAGGTGGTTTTCTTAGGGTGCCACACCCGAGGCCTTCGACCTAAAGGTTTGATCCACAAGGCAGTGGAGCATCGTAAGAAGATGCAGTCCCATGGTAGCCGGTGACCAAAAATTAATTCATACGCCATTTTTTCCTTCAAGATCCTGAAGCCAGCTCATGTACAGCACTGGTTTGGAATCAGGGTTTTCCAACACCCCTAGGTAGACTCTCCATGTCCAGCGACCCGATTAAGGCGCCGGACATTCGCTTTCATCCTCTCAATTTCGTAAACACCCACGCCAATGAATGTCATTTATGAAGAATAAATCTTGACAATTCTGATATACAAATATTGTATAACTAGGAGATTTCATGTAAATGACTTATAAACTACACATTTTAATTCCATGTACATAATCAAGGCTTAAAATAGCTGGGGATTAAATAGAAAAAAGGTGATAATTAGCTCTCTTGTTGAATAATCACGAAGAAATTTAATTTATATATCGTACCCGACGAAACATTTGATCTGTTAACGAAACCCGTCTATAGGGCATCGTTTGTCGTCAACCATACATCACACCAAGTATTATATTACGTGTTCTGTTTTATATTGAGAAACTTCACAATAAGTACTATTCATATATTGTTATCACATGTATTTCCTAAATAAAATAAATCAACACATTCCACTTAGTATGAGAGCTAATAGTTTGTAAAAAATAGCAATTCTAACGTATTTTAACAGGCTACCAAGACCGATGAACTGTGGTGTTATGCAGATCTATTACATCTAGATATAAGTAATAATTTGGAAACTTATATAATGGTTAACATATTATCTGGCTTTAAAGTAACGATCAATGATTATATGCATATGTATATATTCTATAAATCCTATTCATGAATGATAAAACAACGAAAAATAAAGGAAAATTAGTTCAGACACTATATACCATAGTTGTATTTTGTAGTAATACTCTAGCATATCAAAGATCCATTATTACTTCAACAATAAAAATGTGGAATATATCACGAATGTAACAAAAATAAACTCGAATTGTTTTAAAGAGTGTAGCAACAGAATGTGATAACATTTAGTAATTCTGGTCTAGATCAGTAAATACTACAACTAAATTAAATGAATCTGAGTGAATTTTCAAAAATAAGTAAATAAATAAATAGTCCTGGCAGGAACTAAATGTCATTTAATCAGGACTATCTATCATGATTATAAATAATTCATTTAATAATTTATTGTTTTGTGATTCGATTTATACTTTTCTTTTTCCTCATAAATACCAGGTGTAAATCAGATTATTTATTCTCATGTATTTAATAATCTAGTAAAACACATTGTACACTATAATCTATAATTTGATGTTTAATAAATGTTAACGATGGAAACCATTTTAAGCTTATAAACCAGAATTAAGAGATTATAATAAACCTCTTTACAGAAATTGTTATATGGACGTTATCAGAAGGGGTCTTGTTGAGATTTTAGTAGTTTCAGTAGTTGAAATCATGAATCAAGTGAAGCTAGACCACAATGGAAAACCTGGAAGCACTTGATGGGCGTTTCGTTTAATTGTGCGACTCCTCAGCAGTGCGCATCCACGATCCCGAGATTCGAACTCAGAACCCATCGTCTCTCGCACGAGCGCTTAAAGATTACACCACTAAGCCTGCTGGTGTCCACGATGTTAATGTCTAACTTCAACCAATCCATGAAATCGCGCTACTGCTCAGGAGTCCCATACTAGGACGAAACGGCCATCCAGTGCTTCTAGGTTTTCCATGGTGGTCTAGCTTCAACTGACTCACGGTTTCAACTATTGAAATGAACAATAATTAATAAAATATTTTATTTCTTACTATTCATTATATATTCAATAAATATTCACTTAAACAGGTACTTGTGATACGACAATACTTCTTAATAACTTAAGGTTATAATATGATATCGTATCTATAGCTCCAATTAATTAAATAACACCGTTGGATGACGGCCGGCTCAGTGGTTTGAAAGTTAAGCGTTCGTGCACGAGACTGATAGGCCCTGTGTTCGAATCCCGCGGAAGGCGGGATTGTGGATGCGCGCTGCAGACGAGTCTCATATTAGGATGAAAAGACCATCCAGTGCTTTTAAGTTTTCCATTGTAGTCTAGCTTCAAATGACTCTAAATTCAATTTTAAAATTATTACAATCTCCACAAAACCTTCTGTGATTAAAAATTAGTTTATTTATCACACTGTCATTTTTTTAAATAATATTTCTTAGATGTTTCTTTGGCTTCTACAACATTAATATTCTATATTTAATCCAACGACTTCTTAGAAAAAAGTTTTCCATAAATAATACTACAAACACTTGATAATATGCAGATAGTAGCAAATTAGTCATATATGCATATATATATATATATATATATATATATACATTACCTGGATCTAAATAGAAGAAAGAAACTAATTAATTACCATAAATGATTATCATAAAATTTTATTTTTGTGTCCTAGAAAAATAACCATCTTTTGTTTTAATGAATTTATTACATGTTTTGGCGGGAAAAAGAAATTAAACTAAAATTAAATTACAATGGGAATAATACTAGTTAGGTAATTAAAGTTTTTACAAATGTTTACTAAAAACTATATAAAAAATAATGAGTAATTAAAAATTTCATTTGTATAACAGCTGGAAACAAATGGAACATTATGATTAAAGGACTAGAAATGAGATGAGAATATAAAGTCTAATTATATGCCAGTTTTAGAAAGATTTTTCATGACAAAATTACATATATTTATGTATATATATGATGAACGCAAGTAAGTTAATTACCATTATCTTTCCGGTTTGCGTAAAGCTCACACAAATAACGATCGTACATTCTTAGTTATTAAATAAAGTAATTCTAACTTATACTGATCAAAATCAATGTCGAACTAACCCATTGAAATATATCAGGTCAAAATAAATTAACGTCTATATAGTATGAACTAGTCTTACCGCTTTACTTCTCAACAACATATATTCATATTTAGTGAACAAAGAACTGAAGTGGGGAAACCAATTTATCATCCAATACCTAATTACACAGTTCTCTAGTAAAATATGAAAATCATAAATTAACTACATTTTTTGCACATCTTATACTAGTTGCCTCTTACAAAATCTTTCGTTTCTTCATTCCTGTTTTTATTTTGATTGCAATCAGTTTCCTTCCCTTTTCGGTTCACTTCAATGTTTTTAATCTTCTTCATGAAGACATTCCACTTCTGATCAGTGCTACATACTACTTATATCCATCAACATAATTAGCATACACTATATATAGAGAGAGATTGACTGCAAATGCTGAAATATTCTACGCTGGAAAGGAATATTTGAGTCAGATTATAAACATATGTCTGAATTAAAAATAACTGTAACATAATTGTACCTTGTTGAGAAACTGTTATATATTGAAATTCTTTTCACTTATTTTGGAAAAATAAGTCAAGTATATTATACTGGTTATAATTTATTATTGTCTGCTCTGATGCTCAGTGCGTAAAGTACAATTATAATCAGTATATGGTTATGGAGATTGCTGAGTTTTAATTGGGACCATAAACCGGTCACTGTTATACCACCAATGTAAAACCTGTAAGTACTGAAAGGCTGTATGTGACTCCTCAGCAGTGAGCGTCCACAATCCCGCATGTGGGATTAAAATATCATTCAACATTTGTATTTCATTTTATACTTCTAATCTGGCTAACGTACTTGACATTCAGCACATGATAACTACTAGATCAACAAAATGTGATATATAATTTTACATCAATGGTTATTGACCAAAATTATTTCATCTTATACTATAGTAAAGCGAGAAAAGAATGAAACCAATCTTACAGAGAAAATTAAAAACTAAAAATCAATCAAAGTGAGAAGCTAAATACTAAAATTTCAATTCGGAAGGATCGGATAAGACTACAAAATAATAATGTCTCAAACTTTGAATATTGAAGTATTTACAACCAGGGTACTGTGACCGAACAACAAACTTTGCTTTTATACGTGATTTCATATTTAAGTAATCATTTGTTATCATCCTGAACAGTTTATATTATTCTTTACTGAACGTTTGGATTTCGAATTCTTTAAAGAAACAATTTTTACTGTCTATTGACTGTAACAATGCTGAAAA